TAATAAACGAATTATTTGACAGTAGCAAAATATGAAAAAGGCTCATTTGGTCTATTTGCATAATGTTGCCAATAAACTAAGTGCAAAACGAGAACTGCTTCAGCTTAATGAGTCAATTCACTAAGCTTATCATAAGAATTGTATCTAGGAAAAAGCTTAAACCGGTAATAGTCAAGAAAGTTTGACTTGGTCAAAGATAATATGCAAATTCTATTAATTGTATGCTTTCAGAATGAGCAATACAAATTCAAAAAATCCTATACATATGTTTCAGAGCTTACACGAAGGCATATAAGGAAAGCACAAAGACGTATTTGAACTAATATGAAAGTTTGATTTGTATGGCAAAATGCACGAGTAACCCGTAACCCCTACTGAAAACAGCCTGTACGTGAATTCAGTGAATCAATTCATTTAGAAAGAATAAGACAAAGGTGCGTTTCCTCACCGGATTCGTTTAACAAATCTATCTTAAGGAAACTACTAGGATTTATTATCGGCGGAGATCATTTTAATACGAGATACACAGATAAAACTGTGTTGGTAACAGACTCAGAAGGAAAATTGAAATTAGTAAAAATAAGAAGAAAGGACTACTCATAAACGGTAAGACAATATGCACGGTTACCAGCAAAAGAGTGAACAATGTATTGGTAACGACAAAATCAAGAAAGTACAAAAATGAATCTGAGTAAAAGATGACGTAAAATGCGACAAAAATCCGATGACGCATACAAAAACAAAAAGAAACATGCTTTCCTTAGGATTTATAAGGTATTAAGAGATAGGAAAAGTTCTAAAAAAAACAAAGAAAAGAGTACGAAACTATTATGGGATATCTAATTTCCAATATGATAAGAAATGCTAGAAAATCTCGCCACAGATGAAGAGACCCGAAACTACATACGAATACTGAGAATATTAGAGACAGAACACGTGAACAATCAAGAAGTTACTGGGAGTGCTGTACAAGAAAGAAATATACCCCGTTTTCATTTCCTCGTTATAGGCATTATAATGATATAGCAACACTTTAATAGACTAACGAACAGAATAGCTGAAAGAAAAAGAACAAATATGTTTTGTTCTCAAAGAGATGTTTATACTGTTAAGTCATACGCAAAATTATATAAAAATAGTTATACTTATCCCACACAGAAAAACTATAACATGTATACATCAACAAATAGTGTGAAAATGACGAAGAGATATATAGTCTTAATTGTAATAAATATAAATTCGAGCTGTCGGAGGATTCTTCTGTGTTTCTGGAGAAGCTATATTTTTCTCATCGGGAAAACAGCGCGGACATGCTGTGCGGCTATATTTATATTTCCCAAATGGAATTCGAGCCGGCTGGATTTATCTTCTATGTCACTAGTGAAGACATATTTCCCAACGGGAAATTTGTGTCCTACCCTCATTGCAGCTGGTCAGGGCAGGGGTCTTGTCTCGCTCGTGCTAACAAAAAATGCAACTGATCGTCTTGACTCTAAGCGTGCTAATATCTCACGACTTTCAACATTGTGAACTAACCTCACTCAGAGTTCGTTACTTGACCCTCGTAAGTTCATCTCAATCAAAGGGAGCTAATCGCCTTTTGCATGCCTACAAAGCTTTAAGAACTACAAGGATACTCGTGCTTAGATTCATAGAGAAAGTTAAAAATTTTGAGACGGATAATGCGAAACGAGCGCCAGGTTAATCCAACACTCGCAGGGCATATTGCAGGCAAGAGAAGCATATTTAATGAGTTTCTGCAGATGGATGGCAAAACGTGGGCAAAAGGTGATGGCAAAAGATCAAAAGTTTATTAGAGCAAGAAAAGGTATTTATGGAGAGTCACGACTCCTACATCATGATAGCACATAAAGATAGATAGATAGATAGATAGATAGATAGATAGATAGATAGATAGATAGATAGATAGATAGATAGATAAGAGCATAAGGAATAATATTATCCAAGATGCTATCAGTAATTGTTTCCGTTTCGCTAACATTCTTCATAGCACAACTGGCACGCAAAACAAAGGTAAATGTAATCTCGATTCCATATCCCTAATTTATATCAGTCCCTCTTCCCAACAACAAGACTGCAATACAATGTCTTCGAATCAGACTGTGAGCGAGCATTACATCCGGTGCCATGACACCTGCGTCGAACATGTCCTTCGCTGGAGGCAATAAATTTCAGAAATGTCTTCCATTACAAGTTCCAAATGTTTGACAATACAGACGATGAACAAATATTTGATGTCGTAGCTATCGTTAAAACATTCGAGGAAAATTGGTCAGAAGCTTTTCCTTTCGTATTTTGTAGTAGCATTCGTTACAAAACCCTAGCCTGTGTGAAATATTACTTAAGGAACACCATCTTTCAGGAACAATCAGTCTAGATATTTTAAAAATTATGAAGCATATGCGGAATATATAAACTGGCTTAGAATAACAATAGTTATATATATTACTGAACCTATATTTCTCTTTTCACAGACACACACAATAAAATATATTTTTATATATATATATATATATATATATATATATATATAAAACAGCTCTGGTCGCATTGGAGCTAAAGAAGTACAATACTGATATAGCTGCACTGAGAAGTAACCACCAGTCGACTACATGAAACGAGAAAGCAAAAGAAGAATCTAACAGTGTTCCTGCTGCACTTGGATACAATGCATTCTCCTGTACTGTTTGTGTTCTTTTATGCATTTCTCAAACCGGTCTCAAAAAATCATGCCTGTCATAGGCATGCAGATAATTAGTTCATGGTCGGAACGTCATATGTCGAAGTCGACAGGAGAATCCATCATATATATATATATATATATATATATATATATATATATATATTCCATTAAATAATATAGACAAGTGTTGTCTATTTATGTAAATTCTTTTCATATCGTCTGATAATTTTAATAACATTATCATTAAACGAAGAAAGAAAATCACAATATTGATACATATTTTTTAATCCGATCTAAGCTTTCGGCTTACATAAGCCACTATGAAATAAACTATGAACAAAATAAACTATGAAATCTCCACAGATATTCTTAAATGCCTATAATTGGTAAGAGAAGGCATTGGTTTATACCAACGGCTTCCCATACTTAATACTTCTCGTTTTCACTCTCGTGTGGTCATGTGTGACGTCATGAGCTGCGGTGCGAATTTCGCTTCCAGCGTCTTATAAGCACGAATTTGTCGTTGCTTGGAAATCTTCCGTGTAAACAGAAACAGACTATCATCACTGTTTTGTCCGTCTATTGCTTAATATATTGTAATGTAATTGCCATCTTTGATAATGGCTTATGTAAGCCGAAAGCTTAGATAGGATTAAAAAATATGTATCAATATTGTGATTTTCTTTCTTCGTTTAATGATAATGTTATTAAGCTTATCAGACTATATGAAAAGAATTTACATAGACAACACTTGTCTATATTATTCAATGAAACATGCATCAATGAAAAAATGCTGCCTAAATACACACTATATATATATATATATATATATATATATATATAAATACCAAGATACGTACATGTGGATGAGGCTATTATAATAATATTTCCTACGTCTATAATGGCCTCATGATAAAAGTAATGACAGTGTTAATATTAAGAAAGAAAAAGTTAACACTCAATAGTATCAACTGGCCACAAAGCGCTGATCGCTTTTGGGAAAGAAAAAAAATTCCATCACCATAGATATATGTATAAAAATAAAGTAAGTTTTAACAAATAGTAATAAAAACAACAGAGCCTGGGGAAAAAGGCCATTGTAGCCAAGCAATAATCCCCAACCAAACCTTACACGACTCCAAAATGTTCATCCCAGTAGTGATCCCTTGATAACAAAAGAAGAAAAATAGATTACACCTCCATTTCCAATCTATAAATGAATAAAGCATTTCTTCAATGAGTTATTCTAAAGCATCGCCTGAGAATGGAACTGTACTCTAAATTTTAAGTTTAATATTGAAATTAGGACTTGAGTCAAGTTTCGAAACATTGTAATTTCTGTGTCGCGACGGAATCATATTTAAAAAAAATAATATATATATATATATATATATATATATATACATACGCTAGATATATGTGAAATTACAATACGTATATATATTAGTAAAGACATGCTGAACTCACGTTTCCATGCGCATATACACACGTACATATGTTTCCCATTCTTGTTCGCGCACACATCGTATTCTGATTGATAAGCAGACAGGGTTTGATGAGTAACTTGAGAACTTAAATTTAGCGGACTATAAATTGAAAATTACGAAATGAAGTGCTACGCAGCTTCAGCTAAACTGAAACATTATCATTTCTCTTTCTCACGTATCAAGAGTAATAACATTCCAGTTTCCATTTTGTAGAAGGACATGAAAAAACATGTCGTTATCGTGTTACAAGAAAAGTCAGTGGCAATTGCATAGTCACAGAGACCCAAATTCTTGAAAATGTCCAGATAGTTTCAAAATTTATAGCTCGTATATCGGTTGAATTATGTTGACTTTGATGTTTGGCTGCATTGATCAAACACTCCGGTTGAAACAAGACTACAGTCAATATCTTGAGTAACTATGAAGATAATAATTATATAACAGTGACTGGTCTTTGATCATTTATCTGCTTTTAAGGGGAAATGAAAAAGCTCTTTAACTTAGATTAATAATTTTCAATAAAGGTTGATGCTTTTAAGCTTTATCGACATTTAATGTTGTTAATCTGAACAATTATAGTCTCCCTTAAAGTGTTTCATATCTTGTAAACAGGAAGTGACAGTTATAATTGGAAGTAATTTTCGATTGGCTGATATAGCAAATATGGTGCCGCTTTGATCAATATAAGCAATGATTTTATAGTTTATATAGAACGCTTAGGAGATAAGCATCGGAGGAAAATAGCAGAAAAGATAGAAAAATGTCTAGTCCAAACTAGAGGATGCGCCCGTGTCAGTCCAAGGCAGAAGATGCCCCTCTGTCATCCGAAGTCAGAGGATGTGCCCCTCTGTCATCCGAAGCCAGAGGATGCGCCCCTCTGTCCAAACCAAAGGATGCGCCTCTATCAATCGAAGCCAGAGGATGTTTTTTTGTCAGTCAAGCCAGAGGATGCTCCTCTGTCATCCGAAGCCAGAGGATGCGCCCCTTTCACTCCAAGCCAAAGGTTGTGCCCCTATCAATCAAAGCCAGAGGGTGCGCCCGTGACAGTTCAAGCCAGAGGATGCGACTTTCAGTCCAAGCCAGAAGATGCCCCTCTGTCATCAATCAAAACCAGAAGATGTTCGTGTCATTCAAGCCAGAAGATGCCCTCTGTCATCCGGAAGCCAGAAGATGCCCCTCTGTCATCCGAAGCCAGAAGATGCCCCTCTGTCATCCGAAGCCAGAAGATGCCCCTCTGTCATCCGAAGCCAGAAGATGCCCCTCTGTCATCCGAAGCCAGAAGATGCCCCTCTGTCATCCGAAGCCAGAGGATGCGCCCCTTTCACTCCAAGCCAAAGGTTGCACCCCTATCAATCAAAGCCAGAGGGTGCGCTCGTGACAGTTCAAGCCAGAGGATGCGACTCTGTCAGTCCAAGCCAGAAGATGCGCCCATGTTAAACCAAGCTAGATGATGCGCCCTGTCAAACCAAACGTGACGATGTTCCGTGTCAGTTCACTGGGTCATATAATTTGGAAGGTAACAAATAGCTGATTATACGAGTTGATGCTGAAACGTTATCAAGTCGCCCCACTTCCTAACATTTGACAAATGGCCAAAGATTAAAAATATTTAAAACTCCCTTCTGGCCGACAACTTTTTGGCTCCCTCTTTCTTATTGGAATGAATATTACGAGTAAGAGAAATTCTACCATTTACAGCGAGACGACTCTAAGAGATCCAGAAGTCCTAACATCATCTATTTTGGGCGGATATAATCTTAACACTGTAAGAGAGGCAGATAACAGCAGATCGATGGTGGACTTAGAAGGAAAACTGAAAAGAACTCTTACACGTGTTAACAAAGGAAAGCCAGAATAAAAGTCTGATAACTAAGACAATTCATGATTGTCAGCAAAAGAGATGGCTCAGTGTGAGAGCTGAGTATAGGGGATGTCAAAAACCAGAAGATACAAAAATGTCAACTATTTTGGTTGCACAATAAAAAACGACAGAAAACGGGGTACAGAGGTCAGAAGGCACGTAGTAATTGTGAAAGTTGCCTTTCAGAAATTAAGCAAAGCGTTAAGAGATGGGGAAAAAGTCATTAGAAACAGAGAATAGAGGACTGAACTGTTATGCAATATCTAATCTCCTGCGACGTCTCTTCATAGACTTGAAGCGATTGAGATGTGGTTTTAACGACGAATGCTAAGAATATCAGAAAGAGAACATATGTGTACGAAAGAAGCTTTTAGAAAAATGAGAACTACAAACAAGTATATACTTACAATAAGAAAGAGTTAAAATCTCTGGAGCACATTATGAGTAAAGTGTGCACAGAGAAGCTGGGTTAAACACTGAATAACATTCTTAAAGAGTTTGTGCCAATGGATGGTTGAACACGGTCAGAGAGGGTAGTAAACTGTTAGTAAACTAAAGTTGCTTACAGTAACAAAAGGCGAAGATGCGGAGAGCCATGATCACCCACCACTAGAATAAATAAACAAGTGGAAATTCATATATATTGGTTTAGTTGAAGAGACAAACAAGTGACATTACATTTAAGACTCCAAGTTCCTACTACTGAATTGTTCTATAGACTAGAGAATTGGTTATGTAGATTTAGTTACTTTGTACTCGTAAGTTCTGTTCTTGTGACGATCAAGTGTTCAAGAAAGTCATCTTGTCTGGTTCAGTAGATGAAACAAGGCAATTTAACAAAGAATTAACTAATTACGAAAGACTACCAAATAAAACGGTTACCTTAAAGAAGACCGCAGATTTCAATAGACAAAATTGTGTGGTTAAACAATTAAGATTAGGATACAATATCTGTATAATAAATACATGTGCTTATGTTGCGCAGTTCCGAAGAGAATTTCGTCTTTACTGATGCGCTTTACAATAGTAAAACTTAATTAACATAAATATGTGTTCATATCTTCATGCACAGCAGCTTCCACTAGACATTAACAAAATTAACAAAATATTCATTGGTAGACGACGTAACAATAAAGACTTGGAAACACCTCCTGGGCAATAAAAAAAATAGTTAAAAAAATAAGCAGAGAAAAGCAACCGAGAATGGCTTCGAATTTATCTACTTACTATTAAATAAAAATAAGAACTTTTAAGAAACAGGAAATTTTCGTTAGAGACAAAGAAAGGCTGATATGTAATACGAATTCTCCAAATGGCAGAGAATGCTGGACAATTTCCTCAGAGTTGAAGAGGAGATTTTAGGCAACAGAGATGTAGTTCGAAAGGAAGGATGCTGAGAATACAATGTATGGAGCATGTGAGCAACGACAAAGTTTTAAAGAAAATTGAAATAAAAAAAGGACACTTATATTTAGAATCAGAAATAAACAGTTGAAATTTCTAGGGCACATAATGAGGAAAAGAAGCTTGGGGAATTTAGCACACGACATACTGAAGGCAAGAGAGACAGATGAACGCAGAGAATAACCTACTTAATGAGTCTGTGTAAATGGTTAGTAAAACAGGGATTAGGAGGGATCGCCAAAGAACTGAACTTACTAACCGCTACAAAGGACAGGAAGTTGTGGAAAGTGATAACAAACCACGCCCAGAAAAAACATGGAGCGTAGAAGAATTAGTAATAAAATTTTCTGAAATATTATACAACAAAATACCCCAAACCATAAAACCAACGTGATAAAATGCATGACTAACTTTTAGGCTTGATCCCCTAACTACAATCCCTAAAAATTAACTCAATATATTTCTATGTGTTGTGTCTCTACAGAACTTTAGCGATCATGGCTCTCCACAATTTCCGGTCCTTTGTAAATCTTAAATGTTATCATTTTGTCATCTCTCCCAAATCTTGCTCCGCCATCTATTCGCTCAAACTTGACAGGTAGTTTATGCTTTGCTTTCCTCGGGCTCCCTGGCTTTTAATCTGTCCTGCTAGCATCTCTATTATGATTCCATCTGGTCCTGCTGTTTTTTTTTTTTTTGGGGTTCTGGTCAATTTGGCTATTTTTAATTCCAGTTCTGACTTCAATGTTTCTGGACCTTCGTTATTACTGTGTATTTTCAGTTGTTTTCTTTCGTCGTAAGATTTTTCCGATGTAGTCATTCCATCTCTGAAGTATTTGTACTTCCTGTAATATCAATGTCCTGTCATTGGATTTTATGCAACCTAATGATGAGAATGTCTTTTGTTCTGGTCGTTCTCTTATTTTTCTATGCATATCTGCTTTATTTATTATACTAATTCTTTCTACTTCTGCACACTTTTTCGTTGAGGCATTCCTCTTTAGCCTGCTTGTATTGGTTCTTAATTTCTTTGGGCAGATTTTTTTGTGCACTGTTTTTGTCGCATTTCTCATCATGTCGAGAATTTCATGTCATCCATCCTTTTATCTTTTTGTTATCTGTATATATATCTAAGATGAGGCATTATGTGCACTATTTACATTATTCGGACTATTTTCTTCATCTTTGTAGCCATGTTTATCACAAAGTTTCGGCGGTTGTACGCTCCGGCCTTCTTCAGGTGGTTGGAATGTCGAACTGAACCCTTTATTTCTCTCGCTGGGGTACACTGATCTTGTTCCACGTGCCATGTCTAATGGATGCCAGTTATCAGTTATCTCCTTCTAATTCACCTCTCCAAGTTCTCCACTGCCTTAACCAAGTATTGAACACATACTGTCACTGGGTCTAACCAACGCCTTTATCCACTGTGCAATGTTTCCTTAATAATATAAATAGTGTACATTATCTTTTTTTGTCAGTTTTATCTACTTTCAAAGGTGTTCATATATTTCTCCTTTAACATTCAGGTCAATCAGAAGCCTGTCGTATTGTAGATTGGGTGCTGCCTTGTCTCACTTCAATTTCCGTAGTTTGACAAAGTTTGCATATAAATGGTAGGTGGTCGCTCCCACAGCTGGAATTTTGATATGTTCTGTATTGAGACTTATCATTGTCTTATCTACAGTAAAACTTTTTTCACTTTCTTCTCCTGTACTTTTATTTGTCGATGCATAAACAACTAAGATGGATATGTTGAAATGCTTTTCTTTCATTAAATCAAGAATTCTTTCATATACTTGAAAGTATCATTCATGTCTTGATTTATTCTCAGTCTTAATCTTCTTTCATTTTTCTCCCAGATTTCATATATGATCTTGTATTTGTCACTCAGGAAAACTCCATTGTTTGCCTAACCCATTTCACAAACGCCTAAAATATTAACATTTAACATGTTCATTTCATGCTTTATATTTTCTATTTAGCCACACTGTTCTCATATTATTTGTTGCTTGATGCGAACAGTCGATGAATAAGGATCCGGTGATGCTTGTCGCATAATCATGATTTTAAAAGAATAATGATTAAGAGATTTTGGTATACTTCATTTAAATTTAATATATATTTTCAATATCATATCTAAAAAATTTTTCATCTATAATTTTTAAATTTCTTTTTTGCTATCGATGAATGATAACTTTGGATGTAATATTTTTTGTTTTCCTTTTAGATGAATGGAATAGGTTGATTGGAAATATATTATTTCCTTTATATTTGCCTGAACAAAAGATATTTTTTTCAAAATATTAACATCAACCATTTTTTAAATCATCGATCAACTTTCTGTCGAGTAAGAGATTTTCACAAAAGTACGATATTTGACAAAGACAAGCGTAACAAATGTGTAAATCATTTTTCTATGCAATTTTGTGTTTTTTCATTGCTAGAAAATAGAAAAAATCTCTAGTAAAATTGATGATGATAAACAAAAAATTAAACTTAAATTTTTTTTCCGAAAATATTAAAATATAAAATAAATTTGAAATAACATAAACATATTCATATATCAATATATATATATATATATATATATATATATATATATATGTAATATATATATATTTATTATAGTAAATATATTTTATATATATATATATATATAAATATAAATATATATATATATATATATATATATATATATATATATATATAAATATAAATATATATAAATATATATATATATATATATATATTAAAAATATGTAAATATATATATATATAAATATATATATATATATATATGTAAATATATATTTATATATATATATAAATATTATATATATCTAAATAAATATATATAAATATATATATATAATATATATATATATATATATATATATAATATATATATATCTATATATATATATATATATATATATATATATATATATATATATATAAATATATATAAATATATATATATATATATATATAAATATATAATATATATAAATATATATATATATATATAAATATATATATATAAATATATATGTAAATATTATATATATATATATAAATATATAATAAATATATATATATATATAAATATATCTATATATATATATATATAATATATATATATAAAATATATATATAATATATATATTTAATATATATAAATAT